CTTATTTTCTTAGAAGTGTAGCCATCGCCTACCTTCTTTTTATTGTGTTTAATAAAGCTTTTATTGTGTTTTTATTGCATATTTAAAGTTGAACCATCGCCTCTTCTTTCTTCTTTGAGTATTTATTTTTAGTATATTGAGTTGAGCCATCGCCTCTTCTCCCTTTTCTTAAGTATTCTATTGCATTTTAGGATTAGAGCCATCACCTCTTTTTTTTATTTTTGGTTTCTTATCTTACTTTAAAGTCTCTTTAACTTTCTTTCTTATTTTATTCTTTTTTTGTTTACAAACATATTCCTTAACCCTCTTACATGTTAAGTCAAGTAGTATAGCTTTACTAAGACCCTGTATTGCTATATTACATTATTATGAAGCTGGTCACAACCCTTACTATATTCACTTTTAAGTGTAGCAAAGGGAAGTTCAGAGGGTTGAAGAATGTGAGTTGTATGAGGGGGAAGCGCATATAATAAGATTTCATTCTCATTACAATATTTTATGCTTGTGTAGTTAATATGGCTCTTATGCCCATCGAGCATGAGCAAAACTGGGCGAAAAGGAGGAATCGATCTGACAAAATGCTCGATATACATTTGGAAGAGTTTCTCTCGCATGTATCTGGAATCGGTGAAACCCATAACAGAACCATGTGAGGCACCAGATAATAAGCTTGGAATTGCGCGAATACCTTTATAAATGAATAGTGGAGGAATAAAAGTTCCAGCAGCTGAGATTGTTGGTGCGACAGAAATATGGCCATGTGTATTTTCTTGTGAGATTTTATGAACTTGACGGGCTCCTTTTAAAGAGTTGGTACTATAAAATTTCGAAATAGCGGCATGGGCGTTATTTTGATTTTTAAGCTTAAAAATCAAAATAACACCCATGCCCGCTATTTTGAGAATTTAAGGTAATAAGATTAACTTATTTGTTATGTAAATTAACAGCATGTTTAATTTTTTTAATTACTAATCTTTTTTCATGAGAACTTTTTGGATTTTGGGAGCGATAACGAAGCCAGTTTCATCCATATTCCAGATGCGGTCTGAAGTGAGTGAATATTCTTCAATTATCTTCCCTAATTTATTAAAATGATCTTTTATTATTATTGGATTTGCCTTTTGGGCACGTGCCTCTGTTAAAGCCTGAGGTGTTCGAAAAGATAAGTCTGGATAGTCCTTCATGAAGCGGGTCCACCAAGCTCTTCCAGGCCCTTTAACTACAAACAGATTGGAACGATTATCATTGCGCACTATCTTCATCACGCAATTATTCACACCTGATTTTGTCAAGCCAAATCCCAACTTCTGCATATTTTTGCAGTAACCTACTAATTGTTCTTCTTCATGTTTACTTAGAACTGTCTGAGGGCCAGAATGTTTGGATAAACCTTTTTTAACAGCGCGCCTAAGTGTTGTCTCTGAAATTCTAAACCTCGAGGCGATCGAATTTAAACTAGGATTCATGGGGCCTGCAAGTTCTTTAAGTGCGGCTTCAATTGCAGTATAACGATCTTTATGACTAAGCCTTATTGTTTTTCTATTAGCCGTTTTTTTAGATACAATTTTTGTTTTTTTTACTTTGGCTTTCAAGTTTAATTTTTTTACACATTTGGATTTAGTTTTTTTAATGAGTTTCATTTTTGTTTTAATAGTAGTGGATTTAATTTTTTTATTAGAAAATAAAAAATAATCGCGGTTTTATTGATACTTTGAGATCAGAACTGTCAAATTTTAAATTTTTAAAGCATTTAAATAGCATCTTTTTATTGCAAGATAATTTTATTTTTATTGGATACGAATGACAAATAAAAGGAATTGCTAGAAAAATTTACTTTAATTGTTTATGATTAATTTATTATAAAATGATCGCGATTGTGATTGCGATTGTGATCGTTAAGGCTGTAAATTTAGAATCGTGCGCATGCAGCTAAAATTTAGCTTTATGCATGTGTTTTTGTTTTAATTTCCTTTTAGAATTTAGCTATCTATGAAATTAATTACCGTTACCTTTTAAATCAAGTCGCTAACATTTTGATATATAAATGGTTGAACCTGCATCAAGTGTATAGATCGCATATTTTCAACGATTATATCAGAAAGAAAAGAAAAGCAAACACTATCAAATTTGCGATCATAATCACTATTGTTTGTAAATTTGATAAACTTCATGTTTCTTGTCACCCTGATAAGTCGTTCTCAACAAAAAAAGAATTCGAACAAAAACATTTTGCTGTATACTAAAGTTCAGACTTATACGATTTCGGGATATCCAAACACTAATCATAGACTTACTGTATATCAAAATAATTGGTAATTGATCATTTAATAAAGGAAAAAAAAATGATTATTTAAATTTATTGTTATTTATTCTTTATCGTTATCAATTACATCAACCTTTAAAAGTATTAAAAAATCACGTATTCGCATCATTTAAATTTTTTTTTTTAAAAAATATTAATCTGTCGCTGCCTTTACCCAATAAACAAAATGTCACCACCCAGGCGATATAAAAAAAAAAAGAGACAACCCATTAAATTACCGTATATTATTAAACGTAAAGAGAACACAAAAAAGGTGGTGTATCATCAACCAATCTATAAACCTATTGAAATAGCAGTTGAAAAAGAAAAAACTCTAGAAGCGTCAGTTGTGAACGAAAAAAAAAACCCTCACGAAATTAATAAGAATTCTTCATGCGATGTAATCATAACCGATGAAGAAATTAATAAGAATTCTTCGCATGAAGTAATTGTGATAGATGAAGATACTCAGGTCGAAATCCTGGTCACAATAATATTTCAAAAACTTTATTAATAATCTTTATCTAAACAATAAAATATATTCTTAGAGTTACTGTCAAACTTCAGTCAGACCTCCATAAATGCATAGTTATAAACGCACGTTCTATGTAAATTCTCTCTAATATAACTTGGTCTATAAATGCACACTCTTTAAATTTACGTTTCAATTTTTTGTTTACTGTGTTTTCAAGAGGGTGCATTTGAAGGTCTGACTGCTGTATTAAATTTAAATTGTCGTTCTTAAGTAATCTTGTTTTAGGTAAGTTAATAATTCGTGCCAACATAGCATAAAGAAAAAAAAAATTATTTAGATACAGTAAAATGTGACTGCTGAAAGAAATGCTGAGATTTTTAGCGAAGAAAAAAAAGATAAGAGAGATGAATAGGTGTACGAGCATGATTTGTAACGGTAATGTTAATCATAATACGTACATACACGGTAGTAATTTATATCAATTTTATTAAGGTAATAATCATTTTACACAAAGTAGGATTTTTACTAAGCAAATCGTATTTCGTCCACTAAGTAAAGTTATCGGAAATGCTGTTTTTCATATATCTTCAAAGTATGATGCGATTTGGTTAACTTTTCATTAATCGACTTTCACAATATATGTTTTGGCGCAGTAGATAAATTTTCTGCATCAAGTTGTATAACGTGAAAGTCGATTAATGAAAAGTCAACGAAATCGTTCCAAACTTTGAAGATATATGAAACACAGCATTTCCGATAACTTTACTTAGTGAATGAAATACGATTTGCTTAGTAAAAAAACCTGTTTCCTTGTTATATGTTCAATTCGCCACAATACCCACATTCGCCATAATACCCGCACCCACCTTATGCTACGTAAGATATTGCTATAAAAGTTGAATGCTAATTAATCAAATTTACACATGATACGTACTGAAATCTGTGTGTAACTTTTCTTTGCATAACGTAATACGGTTGTGTATCACTCATCACATCGGATATATAACAATAACCTAATATTACGATTTATAATGTTAAGTTGTCAAAGAAGTTGAGAATAAAAATATACGTAGTGATTTGTGCCATATACATAAATAACGATAACAGATAATCAACATTATAATAACTTAAATAAACTTGTCGTTTAAATAAAAATGGCATTTAATGAAAATTTAAATGAAAAATTTATAGAAGATTTCGAGCATGCAATTAATATTCAAGAAAAGATAAATGATAAAAAAATAGATTCAAAATTGAAATCAGAAGAAGAGATTCAAACAGGTACTTTTTGTATTAACATAT